GTTACTCTCATTGAGTAAGGTAACGGAATACGTTACAGAATACATTTTGGGGCATGTATTCTGTATTCTGTAATGGAATACATTTTAAAAGTAACTTTCCCAACACTGCCCTCAGCAGAAAAAACTGCATCAGCTGTTTGATGACTCTTTCACATTGTTTTGTGTAAAGTTTATATGTCAATCCAGTCCCACTGGTGGAGTTTTGGGCATGAACGCGGCAGATGTGATGGGACTCAAACCTTCCAAAAAAATTTGTTCAATCGGTCCATAAAATATTTACCCAAAAGTCCTGGAGATCAAGATATTTAATGGCAAACATGAGACAAGCCTTTGTGTTGTTTTTGGTCAGCAGTGGGTTTCATCTTGAAACTCGCCTATGGATACTGTTGTTGCTTTCTATGATCAAGTACATTCTACCTAACGTTCACACTCAGAGAGCAACTTGGGGTTAGTATCTTGCCCAAGAATATTTGGCATGCAGACTGGAGCAGCCATGTATCAAACCATCCACCTTCCAATTAGTATGACCTGCTCTACTACTGAGCTACAGCCACCCCGAGTCTTTTCCATTGTGGATAATAGGTGTCGCTGTGGTTCACTGGAGTCCACAGCCACTTCTTCCAGACTGATAGATGTCACTGACTTTATTTCTCATCTGTTCTTGAGTTTCTTTAGATTGTACCATGATGTGCTGCTTTTCTTTTTATGTTTTAGCCTACTTGGTTTCTTCATTCATCATGTCTGGCAGTAATCAGGCCTGAGTATGGCTAGAGAAAATTACTCATGTTTTCAAGAACTATTCATCCATTACCTTTTCATATAGGGTCAGGTAGGTTTAGATAGCCTTTTCTCTTAATAACTGAAATCAAAATTCTAAGATAAAGTATATATAATAATTTAACTATCATAAGTTATCTTTTTCTAACATAAAAATGATGATCTTAAACATGCAAGTGTCACAAATAAAACAATAAAAAATAAGAAATCAGGATGGGGGCAAATACATTTTATCAACACTGTACACGGTGTGGAACAGGCCACCTATACTTTACACCTATAGGAGCTGCTCAGCCATGACAAACTCAGAACATATTTGTTACTTAAAGTACTGACTCTGAGCCTTTATTTTTGTTGGTTATGGCTGTCAAACGTCTGGCTGTACAGTAAACACATACCGTGCACAATATCGTGTTAGTCATTTAATTACAAATGAGAAGGTAAACCAGATGCCCTACTACTTACTTTATGTGCTTTAGTAGAATTTCTCCACTAGAGGGCAGAAATGGTTAAAGTAAAGTAAGCATGACCCTCATAAAAATCAGAACTAAATGCCATGTGGGTGGTGTGTGTGTTTGTGAGAAATCAGTTATGCAACAGAGTTTTGGTACTAAAGTCTCACCATGGTAATGAGCATTGTGTGAAACACAGCATGTTAGCCAAATTCTGTGAAAGATTTGAGCTGTTCCCTGGTAGCGTGACCCAAATTTCTCAGTAACTGAAGCCAGAACAGTGCGGGTGATCCTCTCAAACTACAGTATAAGGATTCTTTGTGTGTCTGTGTGGATGGACACATCTGAAAGCTCACAGCAGAAAACACATCACAATGAATTGCTTTGGTTCAATAACTTAGATACAACAGCTCACAGTTGTGTACTGTATGTATGTGCGAGGACTGCCCATTTTGTTGCTCTCTTTTCTCTCCGTTGGAGCCAAAGGCAGTGTATCAAGCACTCTGTTTGTGTATTGATTTGGAGTGATATTTATAATGCTGCCTTAAACATATCGACACCCTGCCCATAACTTACTGTTCAACTTTGTCAAGTAATTTAAGTGGTGATGGACAAGAAGAGGTGTTTCAAAGGTGACAGGACTTTTTCAGGGCCTCATTTGCTCCTGTGAAATGAATCACAGTCATTGTATTGGCTTATTTTTGATCATGGACAGCAAGTTTGTAACTGGGAGAAAGAAAACTATATAGCACCTCAGAATTAGGTGGTCATTTTCAGACCCATTGACAGTCTACAACGTGCAGAAAGATCTGGATAAACATGTCAAAGATGACCTGTTTTTCTTATTTCCAGTTTCATTTTATTCTTGCAAGTAGCTACAGCAGCATTGAATGATTTACAGTTCAAATGATCTAGCAAGAGCTGTGTACAGACCTGAGATGACCGTATTAAAGATATCCCCTCTCACAGACATCATGCATACGCAGCCTGTCTGAAGCAGAGTATTCCGAGCAGTCTGAAGCCTGAGCCTGTGGCTGTCGGGAATTACTGGTACATGTACTGACATCATTATTTGAAACTTTGGTCATGTTAAATATGGCATCCACCACTGGCCAGGCTCTGCTGGGAGCACTTAGTTGCATTTGTGAACCTCTCTTTTGTACTCTCTCCCCCATCACCCTGTCAGTGATCAGGTACCCTGCTGGGATAATAGGCTGGCCAAAGGAGGAGATAGAAGCCACTGATATCAAGACCAAGAAGCTCCTGACCATGCATGGAGGGTTTCAGCCCAAGTTCAGCACCCTGAGGCTGGACGCTAAGCAAAAAGAAGGAGCCCTGGGACTGGTGAGTGTCAGAGCCACAGTCCAGGAAGAAACAACGAACATCCACGAATACATCAGGAAGATAGCCATGACCGGCCGTGTGCTCAGTGAAAACCTCAGGCAGGAAAAAATCACAAAAAAATCACAAAAAAATCACGGTTTTAGTAAGGCAGTAATGCAGCG